CTGGAAAAGGAGATGTCAACTGGTGATTGGCAAAAATTCGATGACTAGAATGGAAGCCAGAACAACACTATATAATCTATTGGAAACAGATATTACTACTCAATGGCAGAGAACGAGAATACGAGCATCGGTTAACCCGGAAAACACCAAGGCTATTTACACGAAATTCCAGAACAAGGTATTGGCCAGGGGCAAAGTAGCGACCATAGAGGGACAGAGACTGACCTTTCATTGGTTCAAGGAGGAGAGAGGTGAGGCGTCTTTGGGGGTCCAGGGGGAGACACAGGAAATGCAATTACCATAGGGATAGGAGGGTGGGTGAGAAAGTTGAAGCTAGATGATGTTATGTTTATGCAAAATAAAACCAATAATTGAGGGTCTAGGGTTAAGGGTTTGGACAGATTTAGGACAAACATGGTTTGGAACAGCAGATTTGTTTGGAAGATCCCATGAGGAATCGTATGGCATAGGCAAAATGGGCACCTGTGGTAGTTTCTCGAGGGTCTAGGGTTTAGGGTTTAAGGAAATTGGTAGTAATGGCAGTTTTAACATTTTTCTTGTTTAGTCATGCCATATATGGCAGGTTTTGCAGGAACACCTGAGAGGAAAGGATGAAGAATGGCAAGCTGACAGTTAATCCTCCAATTTTTTTGGAGCAATCAACGCTGGTCAGGGGTCCTTCGGCCGAACGGAAGGAAGCGTGGATGGCTTTTTCACCCCAGAAGAGGGGGGAGGGGGCCTTTTCACCCCAGAACAGAGGGGTGGCCTTAATGGCATCAGTCAGGGGAACCCCCTGCAGCGATAACATCTGCAAACACGCAAGGCTGCAGCCGCTGCAGCCATCCTCACAGGGGCATCCCCACAGGGAGCTGGGTGGCGACAGCGGCCAAGGATCAGCTGTTAGGGTCGGGAACTGAGCATATATATTGTCAGCTGCTGTTCCTCCCACATTACCCCTCCCCTACAAAACATCAGCAGTCTCTGCTTAATGCCGATCGGGGACACCAATCGGCTATCTCGACATGGCTGGCGCCAAGTATGCCCAGGAAGGTACATGGGGCCAATAGGACTTGAACCCAAGACCTCCTGAACTCCTGAATGCCACTTGTGTGTCTTACCAACTGAGCCAGGCCGCTGATTCTTTTTTTTCTTCAAAGGGACAATGCTTCAATCTATTCGTGGGGAGGGACACGTGCTGGGAACCGGGCCCAGCATCCCTCATGAAAATAAAGAAAGCAAATTGGGCTACCGGGCCCATTACCCGGCTTCCAGGCCGCCGATCCATAGCCTCGGCTTTTAAAATGAATGAGTGAAAAAAAAAAAAAAAAAAAAAAAAAGACATCTAAGGACAACAAAGTTAACCAGGAAAAGTTTACAACAAAGAAGAAAGCGTTCTCAAACGTATGGTCGCTTAAAAAAAAAAAAAAACGTATGGTCGCTTTTACGGTTTTACCCAAACTTATGAGGATATCAGACCAAAAAAAAAAAAAAAAAAAAAAAAACTTGAGATGGAAGAGATACTTGGGGCAGGTTGTATAAAGGAGTGCGTAGTAGAGACTGGAGGGTGGTATGAGGACGAGAGCTGTGAATATTAGATGGTGCCCAGAGGATTTTAATGGGGAAACTGAGGAAGGGTTTAACACGGTGAGAGGCCCGTGAGACTCCTAGAACAGCCCCCCCGAGCCAGGCCTCCCCTGGGGACCCGTCTGTTGTGTGGCTGGGTGCTGCTAGGAA